TGTATGACGCGGTGCAGGCGTCGCCCCCGCCGTGCAGCACGCCGCCCGCCACGGCGCTGGCGCCGCCCGAGTACGCCGAGGTGCAGCTGGCGGCGCAGCGCGCGTGGTTCGTGCCCGACGATCCCTACAGCGAGATCGCCGACTCGGTCGCCGCCCCCGCCAACGGGGGCAAGCGCGCCTCCTGCCAGTCGTCGCACCACTACGAGGTGCTCGAGGCGAGCGCCGGCGCGGAGTCGCCCGAGGTAGTACGTGCACCAAGGGCTGCAAAGCGAGCTATCCTACCGGGGGAGGGGGCACCTGTCACACTAGTTTTAAGGGCCAAAATAGCTCTTGACTTCAATAGATTGATTGAATAGTGATTCCGGGCGCGTGAACGGCCTAGGTCATTAGTTCCGTACATGTGCATGTTATTCCCTCGGGATGTGGCAGTTATCTTTCCCCGCGGGATGGCGAGATTCGGTGTAGACCTACCGTCAGCTGGCGGGATTTTCCCCAACCAGTTATCTCCCTCCAGCGGGTCCACGCCCCAGCCGGGACAAGCTCTAGCTCCGACCGTTCCGCATGTGTGGTAGGGTAGCTGCATGTCTAGTCTAGTTGTATAAGGGTGAATAGTCAAGAAGCAGAAGAACACGCGCCCTTCGTTGCCCGTTCGTTTAGGGTACTGCATTAACGGGGCATCGCATACGTATTGATCAGAGAAACCACGAAAAACTGCTGATCATAGCGAGCTATGATCATAACGAGCTAGTGTCGGAAAACCTACCACCAACGGAACTCCAACCCTAAGATCGTTCGGTCAGAGTCACTGCCAAGTCAGCGGAAATGAGACCGGCTCCCAGTACTTCGAGCTTCGCTGCAACTTTACAATAATGTAAAATATGTTTATATAAAATGTTAAACACCTCAAAATGTTTGAATTCCTGTCGAATTATTACAAATAAGTAGAAATGTGTGAAAAATGAATTAAGGAAGAATAATTCAAAGGAGGTCTCCTTTACATTCCACCAAACAATCCTCTAACATTGTAATAAACTCTACTGGCGATTCATGCATGGGAAAGTAGCTTCTTGGGATCATCGTTTCGTCACATGGACGTCTTCTGTTTGGCTCAAGCGATTGTGTTTCACTCATCCAGTGAACCCCAAAGCGCTCGTAAAATTCCCGGAGACAACTTCTTTCCGATACGTAAAGAGTTTAAATGCCAGCGGGTGAATGAGTTGGCACTAAAAAATGTGAGAATGATAATTAGTGAGGAGATGTGTGAGGGAGCGGTCTCGCCCTATTTACAGAATATAGAATAAGATTAGTAATAGTAATAATAATAATAATAATAATAATAATAATAATAATAATAATAATAATAATAAATAATTCCATATGGACATTGAAGAAAATCTTTCACTTATATTTTATAGACTGAATGGATTTTTGACTCCCTCCTGCCACACAAAGTAGTGGTGGTACAGAATGGCACAAACTGTTCCGTATTAGTTTTCTATTTTCTTTCGTCGGCTAGTTATTCGGGGCGTGCCACTTACTCTTGCCAGCTACCATCTATCGCCGCCCAAAGTACATTCTTTTTAAAAAAGTCTTCCTTTTTCGGTTTCCTAATAGAAGAACCGAAATATTATTTTAAGAATATTAAAGAACGGTAAAACGTCATCCTAAATGGCAATTTTTCTTTAAAATCTTTGGAGCCGTTTTTAAGAAAATAGCGTTTAAACGCTACTATAAATTCAAAATTTGAAGCTCTTTTTCACAAACAAACTTTGAGTTTTTGGATAACTTCATTGAAACTCATTTGAGGCACTTTAACTCACAAATACAACAGTGTTTACAAATTGGTGGAAATGTGCATATTATCGGCGTGAGCAATTTTTCAAGAAAATTGCATTTGTGTAATTTTTGAAAAAACAAAAAATACTCCAAAATGAACTTTACTTCATTAAAGAGTGCAATTATCGCTTCGAAAAGTTAGAAAAAAATTTAGAGCCGTTTTTGATAAAATGGTGTTTGATACTTTCTAAAAATGGACTTTTAAGCTAGAAAACGGTTGAGTTTTCGAGAAACTTTATACGACATTATTTAAAGCATATATGAATGTTAATGTAAATAAATCGTCGTTAATGCAAATATAAACGACGGGAGAGACAAGTCAAAAAATTGAAGTTTTGTAATTTTTGAAAAAACAAAAGAATAGAGAAAACTGATGTTTTTGACATCTCATAGAGTACATTTAGCACTATCCCTACCAAAAGTTTAAAGAAACAAATTGGGGCCGTTTTTGATAAAATTTTGTTTGTGTTATTTTTTTAAATTCCACATATTGCACGCAATATTGTGCGAAAACTACTAAAATTTTGAAAACATGTACATGCCCTTAATGAAAGAACTCACTATGGAGAACAAATTTTATTTGAAGGAAAAATCTCTATCTTAAAGTTTGTAGTTGTAGAAAGACGCCCGAAATTTTTCAAAAATTGAGTTAACTTTATTCGAGTTTAAAATTGAGTAAATACGCCAATTTAACCAGTATGTAATAAAATTGTGTTTGAAAATGTCACATAATGATTTCTTATTCAATTTCTATTCAGAAATATGTAGTTGTCCATGATTTTAGCGAAAGAAATAAGTTATGAAATGAGTAAAATAAAATAGGTATCTCTACCATCGTGTGCACCCAATAAAATCAATGAAAAATCGTTTCAGATACAATTCCCCCCAAAAATGTTTAATATTATGAAAGTATATCTAAAAACAAATACTTATATTTTTGTTTGATAATTTTAAAAATATGAGCGACATGAAATTTTTAATTTTTTTAAAAAAATTGACGTTTAAAAAAACCGCCATTTCGACTAGAAGAGACTAAAAATTTATAATTGAAAACGCCACCGATTGATTCTTTGATATATTTTCATTCAGAATTAATGTATTTTGGTGTGTTTTGCGAGGTAAATTGACTCATTATGAGTAAAACAAAATTAAGTATGTCTAAAATCGCCTTTTATCCATTTAAAATCTATTGCTTGTAAAATAGAAAATGATTATCGTAGAACGCTGAAACTTTGGCAAATAAATCTTTGCAACATATCAAACAAAGTTATTGTCGTTTTTAAAAAACCTTAATTGATCGGGTGTGCGGTCGTGCTGAGTTCGCGTGGAATTACTCGTACACTTTTTAACACGCCGAGAGCGAAACGTAATACAAGTAAAGAAATAAAATAACTACTTGAACAAATGTAAATGAATCCCAGTCGGTGTCGTAACACTATTGTTTGTAAATAATGAACAAAGACGTGGTCAAGATGAAAGACAATTGCGAATCATTACAGATGTTTAGTACAAGCTTCGCGATGTTTCGCTGCACACTGAGAAAAAAATTAGCTGTCGCGCACACGGAAAGCAAGCCCGGGAAACCGCGTTTCGCGCATGGCGTGTTAAAAAAGCCATTTCGCTATATTATTTTGTTTTTGTAAAAAAAATACTCAATTGTGCTTTTTAAAAAAATCTTTCACGCCGTTAATATGCACATTTCAAACGATTTTGTATATTCATTATTGCATTTGTGAGTAGAAGTGCTTCAAATTATTTCCAATTAAATTTCTCAAATACTCTCATATTTTCTTTCAAAAGAACTTCAAATTTCGCATTTACAAAAACATTTTCTTAAAAAGGCTCCAGATTTTTCAAAGAAAATTTTCACTTAGGACTTTTTTAATCTTCTCTAATATTCTTAAAGTCAAATTTCAGTTCTACCATTAAGAAACCGAAAAATTGAGAACATTTAAAAAAAGTGTTTTATGCAACGATAGATGGCCGCTGGCAAGAGGATGGGGCAACATTGAAAAGTTAGTCCAGACCAAAGAAAATTGAGAACTAACAAGTACGAGAGTGTGGAAGCAATTCTGTAGTACCATTAGTAGCACCATTAGTTTTGTTTGAGTTCAGTAAGTTATGACATGGGAATTACATTTAAAGAGTAGAGAAAGTATTGTAGAACAGTTAGTAATGCATGGAGTGATTGTGGCAGAAATTGATTTTTGTGTATTTTGGAAAATCCGGACTTTGGTTATTAAGAATATAACACAAATTATATCTTTTTATTTTATTATATACTATGTTGTGGAGAGAAAGTATTGTAATGCTGCAAGGAAAAAATTGTGTATTTTTGTATTGTTTAACAGTATGCTGCACCTATCTCACCATATGCAGAAGTGTTACTTTCATCAGCAAAGCTGCAGCCACCTGCCACACTGTCGTACTTGTATGCTCAAGTGGATAAGAAGAAGAAAAAGAAACATCAACCATCATCAACAAATGCAACTGAATCAACAGATCAATAAATGATATGAGCAAGGTTTTCAGTTTCTGACTATTGGAAAGAAAAAATGAATGGTGGCTTTTTCTCTCCAATGTGTTGTTTTTGTAATATACTCTTTTTTTAATTTAATAATTGAACATGATCTGAATATTATCTTCTGCAGATTTCTATGTTAATATACATCTGCGTTCTGATTTCTCCATATCTACACTTATTTTCTAGAAATATTTATTACCGGCAATTGAATAATAATTGTACATATTATTGTCTCTTTTGTAATTAAGTATAGTTGTGGTTTCTTCATTTCATTCTTTACTTTTTATGTGTATATATTGTTTTTTAATGAAGTCATTTAAAAAATGTTTTCTGTGCTGAGTCATACTAAAAAATTCTAAGCTCTATAAGTTCACTCTTGTTTGTCATATATTTTTTTTCAAAATAAGAATTGAAGTGAAAGAAACATCATTATTAGAAATAGAAGAAATCATTATTAGAAATATTTGTGTACAAAATATGAAATTCAGTGTATTATATTAATATAATCACAGTATGTGACTACATTTTTATGATATGTACCATGTACATTTTTGTAATTAAAGTATCTCTTTCAGGAAAAATACTAATGTTGATATTGCATCACAAAATATTGCCATCTGTTTTCTCAATACATTCTCCTAAACATTTAAAACTCCAAACAATACTTTATGAATAATATTTTTGGTTGTAATTAACAGAACAAATTTTAATAATTAAAATAGTACTAACCCACCCCCTGTGAAATTTCCTAAACCAATGGTTGGTTCTAGGAGAAATCATTTGTTGTGTACTGACTAGAGGGATTATGAAGCTTTGCATATATCCCTCTCCCAAACAAACAACAACAAACAAACAAATCCATGATACATTTAGTGTTAATAGTTTTTCTCATTGTCTTTTTCCACTTTTTCCACAATGAAAATACAACAACAAGTACAAAAAGAACACACAATTTTTCATCATATTTGAACACCTTAATTAGCATGTCCAAATTGTACTATTTTTGAAAAAAAATCTATGTAAGTAAAGTGACAGTAAATTGAAGTTTGGCTAACAATAAACAGTGACAGTTTCAAAAGCCTTTAAGGTCAGTATAAATTGTATTAGTTTGCCCATTTTCATTTACGTTTTCAAGAATTTTTGAATGAATGAATAAAGTTTTAATGAATTTTTGAAAAAACAAAAGAATACATCAAAATTAATTTTATATCAACTTAAACAGTGCAATTAGCACTATCCATTCAAAAAGTTTTAAGAATAGCCTTCATAGGCTTTTTCAAGAAAATGTCGTTTATACATTTCTGAAAATTTTGAGCTCATTTTTAACTCTTGAGTTTTTGAGTAACTTTATAAGACATAATTTAAGCACATGTACTCATATCTGCAAAAATGTGAGGAAATCACAAAAATGTAAATAAAACAATGTGAAAAATGTAAAACAACTACAGTTTTGTACCTTTTGAAGAAAAAAACAAAAGAATTAGCAAAATGGCATTATGCCATTTTATAGAGAACATTTAGTTCTATACCTACCAAAAGTTTAAATTAAAAATTTGAAGTCGTTTTCCAGAAAATCTTGTTTTTTTTCAACTTTTTAACATTCCACATATTGCACACAATATTGCCCTAAAATTAAAAAAAATGTACATGACCATAATGAAAGAACTAACTATGGAAAAAAAAATACTTGAAGGAAAAATATCTATCTGCAATTTTGTAATAGGAATAAGCTGCAAAATTCAAACTTATGAAATTTTCAAAAATTCAGAGTTAACAGTGAAAAATGGACTAATGTCTCCTTTATGGGTGAATTTTACTCTACTCTTTCAAAAAAATTAATGAAAGTATTTGTAGCAATTTTTGAGAAAATTTTGAAATTTCAGTAAAGCCCCCAAAAATTTAAAGAATGTTTTCAAAAGTCGCTACGCTTTGAGTTGAGCTAGATAGACAGGGGAAGATCCATTTTGGAACAATAATGCATGTGATTTAGGCGCATTTGTATGCATTGTTGCATTTGTGAGTGGAAGTGCTTCAAATGATTCCCAAAGACGTTTTTTGAAAACACAAAAAGCTTTTTGTGAAAAAGAACTTTAAATTTCCCATTTGCAGTAAAATTTAAATGACGTTTTTTTGAAAAAGCTTCAAATTTTTTAACGAAAATGTCCATACTGGACAAAGTTTTACTCTTCTTTAATATTCTTAAAGTAATATTTCGGATCAACCATTAGAAAACCTAAAAGTTGGTTTTCTTTAAATTTAATTTGGGCGTCAATAAATGACAGCTGAAAGCATTGTGGGCTGGAAGGAGGACCGGAAAGTTAGCGTAAACTAAGAAATTAGAAAATAACTAGTACAAGAAAGTCTGTACCATTCTATAGCACCACTAGTTTTCATGATGTCAAACAAAGTCGAAATTTTGCACAATGGTGTCAATTCCAACACTACAAAAGGGTGGAGTGGACAAGGGTACAGTGTGTGCGTGTGTGTGTGTGTGTGTGTGGGGGGGGGGTAATAAGCGCACTCTAGGGGCCTCTGTGTTGTCAAGGTTCGTCAGTCGTAGTCAAGTCAGGGGAATTTAAAATTACTTCTATTTTAGGCAATTGATAGAATCCATTCCTTTTCCTATCAACAACATCGTCAGACACTACTTCAGTTGATTGTACCCATTCTATAAACCAATATTAACTCCTTATTAAAATAGATATTATTTATGGAGGTACAGAATTTTGAGTTGGAATTTAGAAGGGAACAAATGTTGAAATACTCCAAGCATTGGGTACCCGGCGGAAGAAAAAAAAGGAGATTCATCAAAGAATTTTTCTAGTTTCTACAATTACTTGATGCCATGAAAGAATGTGGTGATGTATACCTACATGTGTTATAAAGTTAACGTTATACATTTGTATAGAGGCTGAGACAAAGTAATGCTGCGTGTAATAAAATAAAATTAAAAGAAATATTTTTTTGTAACTTTCGAAGTTTGTACACGTAATAATTCTTGATTTATATGATTTAAAGAAATGCATTTTATGGTCATGGTTAATTCACTAATCAACGATGTACTTCGCATAATTTAAAAGATGTCATTTCTTACAAAATTCGGCTCTTAACACCCTACCAACCGAAGATAATAATGACACTCGAATTTTCAATGCCGTACTAGTCAAGAAGTATTTGAGCACCCATATTGCCTGGGCAATATATGCGTATCGAAGAGTTGGTATTAAATCTGTCATATGTAATATCTGTCAAGTTATAATATTGGATAGAATCACGTGTTTGTATCACTGGGATTCTCGGGGACTGAGCGGGGGTAATGGACCATCTGTAGCTGTCACCTGTCATGACCGTTCGTCTAAAAGAGGTTAGGAATTGAGGATGACAATACCGGTTAGATTTAACAATCAAATGGTTGAGTAATTGTGAAGATATAAAAAGTGTATATTATGATTTTGTGGAATTACATTCGGATTTCGCTAAATTAGCGGTAACTGTTAAAACTAGGGGTATGTATCATTAACAAAAATTATATACTTTTTAATTACCTCGTTTTCTGAATTATTGACCGTTCCATACATTGTAACGACCTAAGACTGTTCTTTGACAGGAGAAGAAAGCACAGCCTTTTTTAAGTGCGTGTCATTCATTAGATCATCATAGAAACATGACACCTGCAGTAGATAAACATGTTGGATCGGAGTTCGCAGGTTTCACGTTTTTTGCTCGAAGCCATCCAGGAGAACTTTGTGGAAGTAATGGATTACCTCTTACTCCGAACTCGATAACAATATATGGTCGTGGACAATACCTTAAAACCATCAGTCATCCTAATTTATGTTCCTATTTGGATATTATTAGAGGGAAGCACGGTAGGTCAAGAATGTGATAAATGGATTTTTTGAATCTTTAATGCAGTTGAAGATCTATGTACATATTTGGTGCAGAGCGAACTATGGTGGTGTCGCAGTATCATATGGAGTCTGTGGCAACGAAACAATTACAACTTAAGGACCTGTCCAAATTTGCATTTCAAACAGTAAAAGCTTTGTGTCACCTGAATGAACATAATATTGTTCATCACAATCTGAGTCCTGAAAACATGCTTTTGAATGATGATGGGAATCTTCAATTATTTAATTATGGATTATATTATATGACAGATGGTGGTGCAAATGTTTCATTTCCTATTGGGTATGTAATATTTTTTTAAATTATTAATATAGTGTTAATGTGACATTGTTGTGTCAGTAGTTGCTTTGTTTATGTTACCAAAATTTTATGTAGACTTCCAGTCTTCCCAAAAATCTTATTAATAAGTGTGTTTGTGAAACATATTTGCATCATAAATGTGCTGAAGTTGAATATAAAACTAACTATTGAATTAAATGCTTTCTGCAAGATGCCTAAAGATTTTAGGTATTGAAAATATCTTAATATTTTGCCTATTATATTTTTGGAATAATTTGTTTTATAATGTTTTAAAACAAATAAAGACCATTAACAAATATTTTCTTCATGTATTCAAAATTGTTTGTTTATCTTAAAAATTAATTGAGTCCACCTGTTATATCCATGTTCAAATATATTTAAACTGACTCCTCTGATCTGAGACTGTGCTTTTATTCACACCTTGTTATCTTATTTAAAATCTTACAAATCTGAAAACCACTGTAATACTAGTAGTTTTAATGTTTAATAATGTTGTTTTATTTTTAAGCTGAGAATATTTTATTCATATTACATCATTTAAGTATTTATTTCATTTCATCATTTCATTTTTTTTCTTCCATGTGTTGAAGTCATCCAAAATATACAGCTTCTGAGGTTTACCTTGGTGGTCGAAATCGTAGATCTGGCCCCAAAGTTGATGTATGGTCTCTTGGAATGATATTAGCTGAATTAGCTCTTCAGAAAGAATTTTGGGCTGACTTAAAGTTACCCCAGATAATGAGAAAAGTTTTAAGTCTTCTACATTGTAATGGGAAAGTGTTTGAACGTCTTGCCAGAGAACATTCATGTTTGGAGGCATATCAGGTAATGTTTGATTGAAGAGAGTGATTGTGCTAGCATGTACATAATCAGTAATGAATTCTTAATACATTAGAAAGGAAAATTTGGATTTTCTTTCTCATTCATTGCCTTCCATTTTAATAACTTACATTTAATGCCTTAATTACACATCAACAACAAATGTAACTTCAACCATGTCACCACCAAATGTAACTACTTCTACAATAAATGTAACTTCAATTTAACTTCTCCCCAAGCATTTCACACATAGTTTTTAACTGTTTTTAATAATACTGTAAATAAATAAAACTCTAAATGGCTAAGCATTTCATACTGGTAAGCTTGATCATATGTTGGGTAAATAGATTTTCCCTTTTCTTTTCCCTGTGTTCCTCTTCCTGAGTGTCATTTAAAATTCCAAAATTATAAAGTTTTGTTAAAAACACACAATATAATTAAAATTTCATATAAGAAGTGCAAACCCAACAAACACTTTTCTTTCTGACAATGTTATAGCTACTATGTTTGAAACCTATATTATCCTTTTTTTTAATATCTTAATGATAAACATTTTATTTTTATGTAATAAAAATTGAAATCAAGTTATGAATGCCACCGTTGTTAAAAAAATGATGGTTTCAAACTTGGCACTTTTCTAAAATACCATTAAAAGAAACAAAATGGCTGCCTCTTAGCATAAAATTGCAGTTACAACTTAACTATATATGCATTGTAATTTCAAAAAGTGATTGTCATATTTTGAATGAATAAAATAGGGCCTTCTTTTTATGAAGGCATGGCCCTTGGTCATTGTTTTACTCCTCTACATTCTAAGGGGCCAACCATAAATTACGTAATTCAAATTTGGAGTAATTTCAATACCCCGTCACCTGTAACATGTGCTTGAACCCTCCCCAAAAAATTACACAACACTTGGGACAACACCCCCCAGTTATAAATGAAAGAAGTGAAAATAAATTATTGCACAGTAAAAATAATTTGTATTTATTTTACTTGTGTTGAGTATTAAAATTAATGTTAATTAATTAGAGTAGAAATTAGTTGGAGATGCTGGCTGCACCTAACCATAACATTTGGGCAAGTTGTGAGTGAAGGAACAATGTTTGGGCGAGAAATGGTTGATTTCAAGTAGTGCACACGCGTCATTGTGGATAGTGCATGAGTGAGAGTCTACAGTGTCAATTTAAATGGCTTCTAGAATATACACCATATCAGTTTTGAATATTTTCTTCATAATCTTACCGATTAAAAAGAAGAATTAAAAAAAATCAATGTTGCCTAATACTTAACTAATACCTCCCTACCCCCATGTAACGCAGCTGCCTCAGACCCCCTCCTCCCACTTCAGCGTTACGTAATTTATGGACAGCCCTTAAGCTTGCCTTCCTGTTCACTGCCCGGCCTGTCTTCCCGACTATAGTTTCCAGCTAGGTTGACACTTTTTTGTGCCTCTTTGTTTGTAAATTAAGATACATACACAATAGCAAGACAGTAATAGAAGAACAATATACAAATAATTAAATTAATAATTCAATATTTCTAAAAAGTGGCTATAGTGAAATTTTGTGGGAAAAATTAGGAAATAAAGGGTAGAATAAAAATAGTGTAAAAATGTGACACTGCAAGCTCTGTAGTTTTTATTCTTCCTTATGGTTCATTTTACATGCAAAATATAAAAAAACTTATTTATATTGTATTCAAATATTTAAGGTCTGTAAAGCAGAATATACTAAGACACTTTTGTACATTTGTGTCTCTCATTTCAGAATAACCTTGAAGATTTGAGTGCAATGTACACTACAGTAAATTAATAAGTAAAAAGCAATCTATTCTAAAACTGATTTATTGAGATCCTGTTTGTAGGCACCTCGTAATCGAGTATTTCTGGTTCTGAAAATGCTGCCATAATAACAAAGCATTTACCATCATTGATTTAGTGTTATGTACTCTACAGAAAAAAATGTTATAACCTTCAGGAGCACGAAGACAGGGCGAAGATCACTTTTTGACAATGAACACTTGTTCAGAAATTTCTTGTAACAAAGTTTTTCACATGTGACATTTACCCCTGATTGGTAGTCAACTCATTAACATTGTTTCATGGGTCATGTTTTGGTGCAATCAACGAGATTTCCACCAAAAACCTTGAGTTGCCTCTCAGTGAAGGGTAAATGTTACATTTGTAACTTTATCACGTAAAATGTCCCAACGTACGCTTGTTAACTGGCAAGAAATGATGATCTTCAATTCTCCTATACGCTCTTGAAATCAATGGGGCACAGTGCAGTAGGGACGTTTGCACCGTGAGACAAGCATTACACCAGCATATCTCACCCACTCATAGCTGAAAAAGTTTAACATAGCATTACATATTGCAGATTGAGGCCATCAGGTGTTGTGCAGATGTTTTCTTTTGTCCTTTCATGCATATTATACTCACTTATACTCGCAGTGTTCATTTTCCTCCTTCAGTGCTGTGCTAGTCACTAATCTTGTCTTTGTACTTAAAATGGAACGTAAATCATATATTTAAAATTTGTGCAAAAACAGAGATGTGACTAAAAAATACCCTCACCCCACCCCCCATTTAACATAAAATAGTGTGGCCATCAAGATGACTCTAAACAGGGACTTGGGACAGGGACTGTATATTATTGTAAAGCTTTAGGCATGTTAATCTGGCAGTAAGATAGTAATAAATAAGAAGTGAAAATTTTTAAAAGAATAATTTACATGTGTATGCGTAGGATCTCCCATCAGATTTGAGAGATTTCATCAGTTTATGTCTGAATATCAACATTCATCATCGCCCTACTCCTCATCAGCTGCAGGACCACACATTTGTATTAGCTGGTCAAGAAGAGAATGTTACAGAGATTAGACAGAAAGCTGTTACAAATAAACACCCTCTCCTTGAAAGGCAATTGAAGGAATTGTATCATCTCTGGCATTTAGCTGGTGGAGATGTGCAAACAGAACTAAAAAAGCAGGGATTGATTAGAACAAAGGCTCCAATTCTTACTCTACCAGAGTAAGTATTGCTTTTCAAAAGAAATTCAATGATAAAGTTGTGGAAATGTTAACTACAGAATATAAATATGATTTGTTTGCAAGGAACGTAAGAAAAAAATATTTAAATACTCTTCTATATAATACTATTTAAGTAGCTCTTCTACAGAATTGTATTTTAAGGCACAATCTTCTTATGGAGTTATTGAAGTTAACAATGTTCATAAGGTAGGTTAAAGATGGTCAAGTTGTGTCTCAACTATTTGTGAATTTAATAATATACTCTGATAATAAATTTAGAAAACTGTTCAATATGAATAAAATATACACGTATATTGACATAAGCAATGTAGTGAATTATGTAAACCCACAGCACATACAACAAAAATTCTAAATCGAATTGGACAAAATTTCCACCATGATAATCACTGGCTGCAAACTGGTTTAGGTTGAGATCCAACAAATTTTGATGTTTAAGACAAATTACAACATATTCAATCATTTTTGTCATTGTAGATTCATATAATTTCAGTATTTAATGGAAGCTAAAGTTCTACTTATGTTGACAGCACCATCATACATCTGTCCAAAACCCACTTATCTGTAAATTTAGTCTAGTTGTTGGTAAAATAAAATAAAATAAAATAAAAACTATTTGTTGTTATTGAAAATATTGCTGGTTGATGTGTGTATTTGTTTCCATTTAAAATCAGGAGAATTTTACCGAGCAACTTACACATTGTGGGTTTTGGTAACACATGCACTTACATGCACTTTATAATTTACTTTGTTGCATTGAAAGAACAATTTGTATTCAACTATTTTAAATTCCCTTGGCTGGTGTTTTTTTTTTATTTTTTTTTTTTTTTTTTTTTTGTTTTTTTTTTTTTTTTTTTTTTTTTTTTTTTTTTTTTTTTTTTTTTTTTTGTTTTTTTTTTTTTTAATTGTTGGAAGAAAGAAAAAATGTAATGGTGATCCCCAGTTTTATTGTAACATGCTATTTATTCTGAGGTAGTTCTTACGAGAATTATAAATAACTTTTCTGTGATCTGGTAACATACATGTTTATGAGTTTTTTCTTATTCTTTATAGCATTGCTATTATACTATTCATGTTGATTTGACAAATTTCTCAGTCCTGATATTCTTGGGAGGGGACAGTAATTTGACAAAAACTGATCAAACATCCAGTTAGATCCGGTAATCGTCGAAATGTTTAAATACCCAAACTTCACAACAATAGTTTGGTTGCAATTGGCTTCCCGCATCTGTCACATTTAGATCACAAAGTTATCGCATTGGTACTCTTATAAAATGCTCAGCTTGTACAAATTTGTACCATCTCATGAGAGTACAGGAATAATACTTTTTCATGATTGTTATAAATGACGAATTAATGCAATATTGTATAATTTGTACAAAGATATTAATTTTATGACTTAATTAATATCTTTGCACACGGAATATAGTTGAAGTTGTGGTGCTAGAATCAGAGATTGTTCTCAAGAAAAGTGTCTGAATTGCAGACTCAGCTGACATTTACTCTTCTTATAGATTCGAGTGATATAGAGGCGAATGATAACCCTCGGGAATAACCAAGTTATATTCGAAATAATCGCTTTTGTGCAAAGTAGACATGTATTAAAATCGCTACTGGTTATTTTTTTATTAGTTAATCATTTACGAGTAGTAATGTATCTATTATTGTCAATACGCAATATCATAGTATCCCTTGACAATAGATCTCCGCAACCATTATTTTTCTATTTCAAATTATCGCGATACTACAAAGACTTGCTAAATTGTTAATAGAGAAACACACTCGATTTTTATCATGTGACCTACCATACTTTGATAGCGGCCAGAGTTCGTGATTATTGTCGGTCTTGACATCTCGCTCGTGTTGAATTCTGTTGAGGTGAACTATATGTCTCTCTTACAATTACAAGGATGCGGAAAATTTGTAGTTGGAAAGGTAATCTTGCCTTGCATTGGTGATATAAGTAATACGTCCACTACTTATGAGTTTGGTCTAGTTCTAGTGTGAGTTTAATAACAAATAGAATATCTTGGATCGTACGTGAAGCAATGTATTACAATTTGATGTATGGTAAAGTACTTTGTTAAAATAGTTTTGGTTGCTTTCAATTTGAAGAGACTTCCCACGATGTTCAGATATGAATGAATACTTTCTTCTTTTGCAGTTATCGCTCGATCCGAGTGATAGTTTAAGCTTAGAAGTTACTGACAATAGTTCATATATAGCTCAATCACACTAGTATTTTTGACATTGCAAGATTGGACATCTTTCAGCGTGCTCGTGGCTCCATTCCTTTATCTCAGAATTATTCTCTAAATATATGAGGATGAGAATTCATTCTTGTAATCCTACAATCAATTTGCTCGTGCTTATATTTCTCTATTAACCATTTCAAAGTTTGGATAATGTAGATTTATTTACAACTACTTGTTTGTATCCATAATTCTTTGCGAGATGTATTTTGCGTATAATTCGTGTGACAAGTGCTAGTTCAGAGTGATTGTTCTCAGGTGTATAAAATAGTCTATGTGTTCTCGTTCAATATATCTTACTAAGATAGCTTTACATAACTTTTTTTGTGCCAAAAATATCTGCGACTCCTAAACTGTAGTATTCAGAAGAAGTATTATCGGTCCTCATAATTTTACCATACATTTCTAATTGGCATTTCCAATCGATCAGATCTTAGCATACGACTTTAGCATGGAAAGTTCCATTTATTCCTGAATATGATTTCAAATTACCTATGATGATTTATCTCAAATGATTTTATCACGTAAGTTTCAGTTTCAATTACCTTTATATGATTTTATATGATTCAGAGAAATTACATAACATCATTCAGTGCTGGACCCATTTTGAACAATAATTTTTGTTCAAAAGGATTTTGTTTTTAGTTGATGTAATATACAATATGTATAATTGGTGAGAATAAGGTTGGAATGTCTATTGTTTTTCATTAGATGTATTTCGCTACATAAGTTTACATCTATGGGATAAGTTACTACTGGAGAAGGCATCATTTCCACGTGGTTGCTTTTTAGCCATACTTCGCCAACTTCGAGACACTTTCTTGCTTCTGGCTAATGAATGCATATTACTATTTTCTGATTTACCAGGTGAGAACTTGGTATTCAATTGTCAAGAAATTATGTTGGAATTTTGTAAACTTATTAGATTATTTTTGATTGCAGAAAGTGGACATGGAACGTTTGTGTCAATGACTCAATGAAAATGTACGTAGCACCCACGAAGTGTAACTTTACCGACCACATGAGTACCCAACGCCACCGCCAGTCAAAAGGCTTCGAAGTAAAATGCTGACCTGTGTAAGATGATTTTAGTTTGTTGTCTGAACCTTCTGAAATACAGAATTTGAATTGAAAACTGATTTACAATGATTTTAGGAAATGGAACCCCATTCCATTAGTTGAACTGCAAAGTGAATTTTGTCCGAATAAGTGCTGCAATCTTCTGGGAACTATTGGGATTTGCAGCATATCAAATTTTCCCGACCAAAAGTAATTGTCGGTGTACATACGCTCAAGTGAAGAGATAGCCTTTTCTGCAAATGTTTGTTTGTTGGTTTACTAGTGCCTGGCTCCAGAACATGGACTTTTTTTAACATAGGCTATATTTGTTAACTTATTTGGCAGCACAGTATTAATTTATCTCATAGACGTCCATTCACCTCACAGCATAAGGAATAGATGTTACCACAAGATGTTGAGCTATAGTGATTACATCAGTTGGGAGATTGAACAATTTATAATAGTATATTACGCGGATAAGGCTTTCACCCAAGTTGGAAAGCAGGCATCACACGCGCACGCACACATGCACACACTCTCTCGCGCTTCTCTCTATCTCTCTCTCTCTCACTCACTAAGACACGGCTCAAAAGCATTGGCATCCAACGGAATGTAGCAAATTAATTAATAATGTTAAATCTTTATTGCATAAGTAGAATGTTTTGAAAGTGGTGACAGATAAGTGAGAGTTTTCAAATCTTTTATGGCAATGACAATAAAGCAATATTATTATAAACCAAGTTGCCAAGAAGAATTTATTCTTCTATAGCACCATTATAAATGTAAAAGAAAATCAAGTTAGTTTTGAAAACTTCATTTTAATGAAACAAGTTGCTTGCCTTATGCAAAAAAAAACATTGTCTGTTTGACCCCCCCCCCCCTCCGGCCAATGTCGGCTAGCTATGCAGTTAACTACCACGCCCCTTAATTCACCCTTGCTGTGATTGGATTGAATGTGTGCGGCAACAATTGTTAGTGCCATTAATTGGCTATTAAGTCATACTGTGTCATAAAATCCCCATTTTATGGAACATTTCTTGAAACAAAAGGATTGTTTATAGTGATGGTAGCGGTATTAAAATAAAATATGTTTATTCATAACATTTCATTTAAAACAAATTTTTGAAAAGATTGCAATGAAGTTTTTGTTTTTTGTTCATGGATCATACAATTGAGATTTGAGAGAGTGAATACACTTCGTCAGAGTTTAGAGAAAAACTGTGAATTTTATAAATATCTATTTCAGATAAAGTGTGAATATTCAAATCAAAATAATACTTAAATTGATATTTATTACCCAAATTCCATTAATGTTATATAAAAATTTATCACAATTATACATTAGATTAGCGTTATTCTGTTGTATTACTTACCACGCGGTTTTAAGATCTGCCTTGGGTTTTATTCCTTATAAATTTTCAGATATAACCGTGGGGTGCAGGTCCTATAGTATCAAAGCATACCTTTTTCAACCTTAATATATCTGAAAGAATTCTTACCTACTCACCTAAAACAGCTTCATTTGCAAAATAATAAAGGAAAAGTTATTGCAATTGTTGCTTACTCGGGACAAGCATGCCCCAGGTAATATACGTAATCATATGTACGTTAACACGGCAGGGGTTGCATGAGGAGATTTGGATCCCAGGCTTATCATTTCATATTAATTGTG